GGCCTGCTAGGCCGGCAGGACGACCTCTGTGCCCAGCTCTTCACGCTCAGCTGACCCCAGCCACCACTCCATCCCCACCCAAATAAATGGCTTCTATAGAAGAGTGTCGTGGAGAGAGAGGGCCTTGGGAGGGTCTGGTTTTCGCAAGCCAGTCTGTAGCCCTGTGAGGCAGGAAAGGGCTGCACGGGTCTTCGGCTTTCGCATGGCCTGGTGCAGGCAGGGAGGCAGGCCCTAGAGGATCACTTGAGCCCAGCCTGGGAAGTGCCCAGTCCTAACTAACTCAATTCCAGGCACTGCCAGTGTGTTGGTGTGTTCTGCAAGGCCCCGAGGTGCCCCTTTGTTGGTGGAATTTGGGCTTCAGCAGATCTGTGACTTGCCCTCTTTCCCTCACCAAACACTAGCCATGGCAGAGGGTCCCGAAAGAAGGTAAACTGCTGTTGTCTGTAAACAGCTGAGCCTCTGGCATTCAGCTATAGCAGACAGCAGATCAAGAAGCTTTCCATTCCACAGCTTAGTTCTCTTACTAGACCGGTTCTTTTTGGGGGGTGCAGGGTGGGGGGGGGGCTATGGAGGAGGACAGGATCTTATTAAGTAGTCCAGGTTGGGTTCAAACTAGCAATTCTTCTGTCTCAGCCTCTCAAATGATGGGATCATACCACATCTGGCTTGATTAGGACAGGACTTACTGAGCACCTGTTATGCGCCTGGGAGGGTGTCTCTTGTACCTTGGTATGGAAAAGGACAAAGCCATGCAAACGGCTCTCCTCATGCTCTCGCCTCCCTCCACTTCTCCCACAGGAGGCGAATGTGGGTCATACTTAGGAGTGGAGAATACACCTAGAGAGATGTGGAGAAGACCGCCCGGTAATAAGGAGCACTCGAGCACTTAGTTGACATTTAGCAAATTAACGGTAGAAAATGAGATGTCAGTGGCGTCTTTGCAGCATGCAGCCTGTGTTGAGAGCTGCAGCGCACCCCGCTGACCGAGTCACACGCTTGGCGGAGGAGCGCCACGCCCCCCTGCCCTTCTGCACCGCACGGGCCTCACCTCTGGGCTGGCGCCTGTGTGAAGGTAGTGGCTTTGACCTCTGACAGCACAGCTCTGCCCCAAGCTGGGCAGGTGATCAGTTCTCCACCTGCATGGATGCCCTAGGCTGTTAGGTGGTTGTTTCTGCACCTGTGTGGATGCCCTAATACTTCTGGCCCATGAGCTGCAGCTCTGAAATGTTCACGCATGAGTGCCTAGCGCAGGCTGCATCATCCTGTTCACCTCTCCATTGTCCCTCCTCTGTCCCTTTTCTCTCCCCAGCCTGCTTTCTTAGCCAGGGGCTTCCTGACGTGCCATCCTGGCAGATGGAGGCATATCAGGCTTATTTGTTCCTGGTTTTGACCCTGTGCCTTGTGCATTCCATTAGCCAGGCGTTACTGAGCTGTCCAGAGCAGGAGCAGGGCCTGGAATACGATGTCTGTTCTCTTAACAGACATTGGCTTCCAGCACTAAGTCCGGCAGAGCAGAGACCCTCTGCTCAGGACACTGCTGCCATCCCAGCGTGACCCCATCTGACCCTCTCCAGGATGTCCTGCCTGTTTTCACTGTGGCTGTGTCCACATTAATCATGACCGAGATCTAAGTTCACACCCTTCCCAGTGCCAGCCATTTCCCTCTCCCCCTGGTTACCTCTCCACGCCTGCCTGGTGTTTTATCTTTCTTTGTATCAGTTTTCCTCTCATCCTTCAGTCTTGACACTTCTGTGCTAAGCTGATCATAATTCTGCCTGTCAGGTTCTGAGTCTGGCTTCTGCAGGTGGTTTTCTTAGGGTGATTCTTCCTGTCTTTTTTTTTTTTTTGGTCATGAGACTTGAACTCTGGGCCTGAGCATTATCCCTCAGCTCTTCAGCTCAAGATCAGCACTCTACCACTTGAGCCACAGTGCCAGTTCTGGTTTTCTGAGTGGTTTATTGGAGATAAGAGTCTCACCTTTCCTGCCCAGGCTGGCTTTGAACCATGATCCTCAGATCTCAGCTGAGTAGCTCGGGTTAGGCGTGAGCCACTGACGCCCCGGCCCTCGTCCTCTGTCTTTGTGAGCACTTCCTTTCCCTCCCAGCTGCCCTCTCCTCCGGCGTCCCTGCCTCTGCCATTTCCATGGCTATCAGGAAGGACATCTGCTATAGGGACTCAGAAGCGGAGGAGAGGAGAGAGCTGGACCCCACTGAACTTCAGCCTCTGGAGAGGAGGACTCAGCTTTGCATTTATCACCTCAGGGCCCTGGATACACAAGAGCAAATCCATCTGGAGTGAGCAGTTGGCCTGGGGCCTGGCTGGCTGGAGGCTCAGCCAGGAAGAAATCTCACTTTAGCTGATTTGTACTAGCACAGATAAGCCATTTAATTTAATTTTTAACATGATTATCAGATGCCTTAAAAAGCAAGAAGAAATAACGAACGAGGTTTCTCCACTTATTTTCCCCTGGGCTGTTAACCAGGCTACTTGTCAAGGTTGTCAGCTTAATTAGCTTTGGTCATTTGGGGATGCTGTTCTCATCAGCTTGAGAGACAGCCTGAAGCTGCTGGACCCTCAGGCCTGGAGCCCTGCAGCTGAGTGCAGAGGGCCGCAGGCAGCTTCTGTGTGTCTGTGGGGAGGGGCTCAGGCAGCTTCTGTGTGTCTGTCTGTGGGGAGTGGCTCAGGCAGCTTCTGTGTGTCTGGAGGGGTGCAGGCAGCTTCTGGGGGTTGGGGAAATGGGACTCCCCAGGCCCTGTCTGGGAGGAGGCAGGAGAACTCCCTGGGTCTGAGCTTGGCTCTGCTCCACTGCAGAGCCAGATGCTTCTGCAGAAAGAGGGTGCCACATTGCTGTCTCCCCAAACTCCTACAGCGCCCCAGACAGGGCAGAGTTCGTGTGAGCAAGAGGGTAAGTTGGAGCAGGGGCTCTGGTCCTATCAATGACGTCCTTGAAAGGGTGGGGGACACAGAAGCCACAGAGGACGGAGGCTCAGGTACTGCAGCACCAGCCAAAGCGAGCCACGCCAGAGCTGGGAGGGTCGGGGGTCACAGGGCCCTGCCCTGTCCGTACCTTGACTTAGAATCCCAGTTTCTGAGCTTGGAGAGATGGTAGATTCTTTCTTCTCCCCTCTCCCTTTTCCTCCTTCCCATTGTCTGTATCTCCTTTGTGCTGCCATCCCAGGCCTGGGCACTACCCCTTAGCGTTTTTTTGCTCAAGGCTAGTGCTCTACCACTGGAGCCACAGCCCCGTTTGGCAGCTCTGAGTGAGGCCTGTGGACTGTTCTGCATCTCCAGTGTTGCCAGTGCTGTTTCTTCTGTGTTTCTCCTCTTTTATCCTCTCCATCTCTTGCTTTCCTTTTTTTTCTCCCCAGGTTGGCTTCGATACAGAGCACATCTGACTGTATTGTTTAATTGTTTTCTATTTCTGTGGTACTGGGGTTTGAGTTCAGGGCCTTGTGCTTGTAGGCTGGCCCCAGTGGGGTGTGTCCCCGGAGTCAGAACCCGTGGGGGCATCCTGCTGGCCACGGGCCTGCCCGGCACCGCACTGTGCAGACCCTGTGGCTGTGAGGAGCCCACCCAAGCCCACCTCCCTCTCCCCAGCTGCTGGCTGAGGCTCCTCAGGATTCTTGGGAAATTGCCAGGGCTGAGTACCCACAAACAAGCAGGTGAGGGCTGTCGGGTTGGGTAGAAAGTCAGGAGCACCTGTGAGCAGGTCTCAGGAGGCAGAATTGGGGACAGTTAGACCAGAAGAAGGCATTTCTGAGACATGGCATGGGGATGCTGGGGCAGGAAGCGGGCACAGGGTCCCAGGAGACGCTCAGAGGCTGGCTGTGGCTCATGCTCCTGGATGTGCGTCCTACATCTCCCTCCCCCCAGGATGAGAATGAGCCAAGCATGCGCCTGAAGCCGGCCAGGGCCTTGTTTCCATCCTCCTCCTGCTCTTGCTGGGCCCGTGAGCCCAGCAGCCCCAGGCCTGTTCTCCCAGTGGGGCACACGCTTCTGGCCCCATGCTGCTGCACCAGCCTCGTCTCTTAAGGTTCGTGCTGTGGTACCTGACCCGCAGCTTGAGCACACATGACTGAAAAGTTCTGGAAGGGCCCTGAGCTACGAGGATGGTTGCCATGGAGCCCAGGGCCAGGGAACTTCTGGAGGCACAAGAGCCAGGGTGGCCAGCACCCAGGCTGCGGCCCCCAGACCGCTCACCCCCAGCCAGCCAACGCCTGGCAAGGTCAGCCCTCCTGGCCCAGCAGACATCGGTGAGCGTTTTCCTGGAAGGCCATAGAAAAGCTTTTAGCTTTGCCAGCAACATCTCAACTCTGCAGCCACAGACACCATGCCAACAGTGGGAGTGGCTGTTTGCCAATAAAACTTTATTTATAAAAACAGGCGAGGTGCTGGGGGCATTGCTTGCTGACCCCTGCTGCAGGGACAGCAGAGCAACAAGAGAGCCAGGGCCTAGGATGGGGTGGGCTTGCCTGGCAGTGGCCAGCCTTGACCCCCACGAAGACAGGTATGACTGTCTGCCGCTTAACTGCTGCCATCTGTCCCCCACTAGCCATTCCTAAATGTGTGACCAGGGCAGACATGGTCTCCTCACCTCTAACCAGACCACAGGGCCGCTCTGGTCCGGCGATGGTAAGTGGGCCAGGAAGGGACTGCCAGTCGGGAGGTGTTGGCCGGCTGGGTGGAAGGGGCGTCTGGTGCAAAGACGCTGCCTGGCCTCGGCTCTGGGCAGCAGGGATGGCACTGTGGGGGTATGTACAGGGAACTGGCACATGCGGGAGGCGGCTGTCCGGTGGCCTGTCTGGGAACACCATAGAAAAGGCACGTGGTTCGGCATTGGCGTGCTCTGTCTCAGATCTCCTGTCCCAGGAGACGCTGCTCCCGGCCTGGGGCCGATGCCACCGGCTGCTTGGCTTCCACGGTCCTGGGAGACAGGGCCCAGCCCCGCTCTTGGTCTGTAGGGTCTGCAGAGACAGGTGCCCACCCATGCCCCCGCCCAGGTCCACAGGGCTCTGCGCTGGGTGGAGAAGGAAGGGTCAGTGCCGTCCATGCTTGATCCAGTTTCTGATCATCCACTTCTGTCCTGAGCACCTCTGCACCACCAGCCGCAGCCCGAAGTTGGCGTCCTTGGACATTTCCACCTCCAGGCACCGGCCAGTGTCACGACTCACAATGGGACCGCTCTGCGGAGAAGCTGAGCTGGCACGGAAGCTCACCTTCCGGACAAGAGGCCACCGTGCCAGCCCCGCCCGGCCCCGCGCTGCCATCACAGCATCCTAGGGACCCTGTCCTCTGGTCTGTCTAGTCAGGCCCTGCTGCAAGCCTGCCCTGCTCCCCGTTCTCTGGTCCACAGACACTCCAGAGTGGCCCAGGCCTGGAGACCGGCCTTCCCCCTGGGGCTCCTCAGCACCTTTGGTCACCAACGGCCTGGCCCAGGCCCCTGGGGACCCCAGCGGCAATGGAGGTGGAACTCCAGAAACCCAAGCAAGCAAAGTGGCGGCTCACGCCACAGCTGAGGAGCATGCTGCCCTCCAGGACAGTGGACCCACTCCTGACTGCCAAATACTGCCCCAGGGAAGTCGGGCAGGGGACGGGGACACTCAGAGGACACACCTGGCTGCCCTCATTCTGCCAGCCTGACTGGATGGAGAAAGATGGGCAAGACTGGTCCTGAGTATGGCAAGGCAGTGCGTAGCCCAGCCATGGAGGGAAGGGAGGAGGGCAGCCTGCCAGCAGTCTCTCCCCCTCCCTCTCTCCCCCTCCCTCTCTCCTTCCTCCCACTCTCCTCAATTGCATTCCACCACACCCTCCTTGCCAAGACAGACCAAAATCTCCAGCTTTAAACAGCCATGGGGCTGATGTGGGCGCTGCCCTGCGCCCTGCGCCCTGCCCCCCACCCCCCGCCCCCTCCACGCTGCCCTGCTGCCACTCCACCAGCTAGCCCCCAGGGCAGCGGTGCCTCCTGCCTCAGCACCCCACCCACTGACCTGGGTGAAGTCCCACAGCCGCTGGCTGGGCCTGGCTACATCCTCACATCTCTTCAGGGTGGGCGTGCGGCCCCTGCCGTCATCCACCAGACACTTGGAGTCGGGCAGAAAGGCGGTGGAGCCCAGGGGTCCCAGCTGGAGGAGGCCGTCCGCGCTGTACCGCACCAGCTGAGGGGCAGCGGGAGCGGTGAGTGGCCACCCACCAGGCCTGGCTGACCCAGGGTGAAGAAAGGCGCTCGCATGGGACCCTGGTGTGTGTTGGAGGCTTTACCTGGGGATGCCGTAGCGGACCACCAGGGTGGCGGGGCTGAGGGACAGGATGGGCACTGCCCAGGCTCGGGATGCCGGCCGGCCCTCAGCTGTTGGGAAATGGAGCTACTACACACAGGGAGACCTGGCAGGGCACAGGAGCCCAGGCCACCTACCCCTGACTCAGCCTAGGGCTCGAGATGCTGGAATGGCAGGGAACACCCCAGCCCCAGCCTCAGAAAGTTCCGGAATAAGAAGGAGCCTTGCTCTAGACCACGGTGGACGGCTCCCACTCCTGAGCACGGTCGGCAGCGTCCCACGCCTCCCTGTGTGCCTGCCGGAGCCCAGCGGGGGTGGCGCAGGGAGGTGCCCACCTGGGAGGACATGCCGTGACAGGGGTAGAGGATGGCCCGGTCATCGTCTTCTGCCCCCTGGTCCAGGCAGTAGCCCGTGGCCTTGCTGTTTCTCACCTGCAAACAGGAGAAGCCTCGGGTCACTTGGTGTGGGCCTTCGGGATCCCTGCCTTGGGTGGGGGACCTGCGCTGTGCCTGCCTGGTGCTGTCCTGAGGGACAGGCCACCCTGGGGGGGGTCTGCCCAGGGGAGGGGAGGAGTGAGGGACGGGGAGGGAGTGGAATGGGGTGGGGGAAGAGCGGTTGCCATAGAGAGGGGAAGAGATGAGGCGCACTTGTGTAGTGTGCGTGTGGACTTGTGTACTCTACATGCATGTGGACTTGTATACTCTACATGCATGTGGACTTGTGTACTCTACATGCATGTGAACTTGTTTACATGCATGTGGACTTGTATACCCTACATGCATGTGGACTTGTATACTCTACATGCATGTGGACTTGTGTACTCTACATGCATGTGGACTTGTGTACTCTACATGCATGTGTGGACTTGTGTACTCTACATGCATGTGTGTGGTGTGTGTAATCTACATGCATGTGTGTGGTGTGTGTAATCTACATACCCATGTGTGGACTTGTGTACTCTACATGCGTGTGGACTTGTGTACTCTACATGAATGTGGACTTGTGTGCTCTACATGCATGTGGACTTGTGTACTCTACATGCATGTGGACTTGTATACTCTACATGCATGTGGACTTGTGTACTCTACATGCATGTGGACTTGTGTACTCTACATGCATGTGGACTTGTGTACTCTACATGCATGTGTGGACTTGTATACTCTACATGCATGTGGACTTGTATACTCTACATGCATGTGGACTTGTATACTCTACATGCATGTGGACTTGTGTACTCTACATGCATGTGTGGACTTGTGTACTCTACATGCAAGTGTGGACTTGTATACTCTACATGCATGTGGACTTGTATACTCTACATGCATGTGGACTTGTGTACTCTACATGCATGTGGACTTGTGTACTCTACATGCATGTGGACTTGTGTACTCTATATGCATGTGGACTTGTATACTCTACATGCATGTGGACTTGTATACCCTACATGCATGTGTGGACTTGTGTATACTCTACATGCATGTGGACTTGTGTACTCTACATGCATGTGGACTTGTGTACTCTACATGCATGTGGACTTGTGTACTCTACATGCATGTGGACTTGTGTACTCTATATGCATGTGGACTTGTATACTCTACATGCATGTGGACTTGTATACCCTACATGCATGTGTGGACTTGTGTATACTCTACATGCATGTGGACTTGTGTACTCTACATGCATGTGTGGACTTGTGTACTCTACATGCATGTGGACTTGTGTACTCTACATGCATGTGTGGACTTGTATACTCTACATGCATGTGGACTTGTGTACTCTACATGCAAGTGTGGACTTGTGTATACTCTACATGCATGTGGACTTGTGTACTCTGCATGCATGTGGACTTGTGTACTCTACATGCATGTGGACTTGTGTACTCTACATGCATGTGGACTTGTGTACTCTGCATGCATGTGTGGACTTGTATACTCTACATGCAAGTGTGGACTTGTGTACTCTACATGCATGTGGACTTGCGTACTCTGCATGCATGTGGACTTGCGTACTCTGCATGCATGTGTGGACTTGTATACTCCACATGCAAGTGTGGACTTGTGTACTCTACATGCATGTGGACTTGTGTACTCTACATGCATGTGGACTTGTGTACTCTACATGCATGTGGACTTGTGTACTCTACATGCATGTGGACTTGTGTACTCTGCATGCATGTGTGGACTTGTATACTCTACATGCAAGTGTGGACTTGTGTACTCTACATGCATGTGGACTTGTGTACTCTACATGCATGTGTGGACTTGTATACTCTACATGCATGTGGACTTGTGTACTCTACATGCATGTGGACTTGTGTACCCTACATGCATGTGGACCTGTGTACCCTACATGCATGTGGACTTGTGTACTCTACATGCATGTGGACTTGTATACTCTACATGCATGTGTGGACTTGTGTATACTCTGCATGCATGTGGACTTGTGTACTCTACATGCATGTGTGGACTTGTGTACTCTACATGAATGTGGACTTGTATACTCTACATGCATGTGGACTTGTGTACTCTACATGCATGTGTGGACTTGTATACTCTACATGCATGTGGACCTGTATACCCTACATGCATGTGTGGACTTGTGTACTCTACATGCATGTGGACTTGTGTACTCTACATGCGTGTGGACTTGTGTACTCTACATGCATGTGTGGACTTGTGTACTCTACATGCATGTGGACTTGTATACTCTACATGCGTGTGGACTTGTATACTCTACATGCATGTGGACTTGTGTACTCTACATGCATGTGGACTTGTGTACTCTACATGCATGTGGACTTGTATACTCTACATGCATGGGGACTTGTGTACTCTACATGCATGTGGACTTGTATACTGTACATGAATGTGTGGACTTGTGTACTCTACATGCATGTGTGTGGTGTGTGTAATCTACATACCCATGTGTGGACTTGTGTACTCTACATGAATGTGTGTGGTGTGTGTAATCTACATACCCATGTGTGGACTTGTGTACTCTACATGCATGTGGACTTGTGTACTCTACATGCATGTGGACTTGTGTACTCTACATACATGTGGACTTGTATACTCTACATGCATGTGGACTTGTGTACTCTACATGTATGTGGACTTGTGTACTCTACATGCATTGTGTTGTCCTTGTGTACTCTACATGCATGTGGACTTGTGTACTCTACATGCATGTGGACTTGTATACTCTACATGCATTGTGTGGCATGTGTAATCTACATACATGTGTGTGGACTTGTGTAGCCTGTGTGCATGCATGTGTAATTGTGTAGTCTGTGTGCATGTATGTGGAATTGTGTAATCTACATACCTGTGTGTGGAGTTGTGTAGTCTGTGTGCATGCATGTGGAATTGTGTAGTCTGTGTACATGTGTGTTGCTTGTGTAATCTACATACATGTGCAGTCTACATCTATGTGGACTTGTGTAGTCTGCATGCATGCATGTGGACTTGTGTCATCTACATACATGTGTGTGGGCTTGTGTAGTCTGTGTGCATGCATGTGGACTTGTGTAATCTGGGTGCATGTGTGTGGCTTGTGTAATCTACATACTTGTGTGTGGACTTGTGTAGTCTGCGTGCATGTGTGTGGACTTGTGTAGTCTGCGTACATGCATGTGGACTTGTGTAGTCTGTGTGCATGTGCGTGGACCTGTGTGGTATGTGTGCATGTGTGTGGACCTGTGTGGTATGTGTGCATGTGTGTGGACTTGTGTAGTCTGTGTGCATGTGTGTGGACTTGTGTGGTGTGTGTGCATGTGTGTGGCTGGTGTAATCTATATGCATGTGAGTGGACTTGTGTGGTCTGTGTGCATGTGGACTTGTGCAATCTGCATGCATGTAGACTTGTGTAGTCTGCATGCGTGTGTGTGGCTTGTGTAGTCTGCGTGTATGCCTGTGCACTGTGCAGTCAGCTCACAGTTCAGGCTGGGGGTTTGGCAGGCAGAGCTGGCACAGAGCCTGGCTCCAGACCACGTTTGGTGGTTCCTGGGGAAGCCCTGTATGGAGGGAACAGGAGTGGATGCGTTGGCCAGGAGCCCCAGGGAGCATCTGTGAGCACTGCCCTCCAGGCTTCCTTCCTTCTGGCCGTCCCTAGTGCTGGCCAGGGCAGAGCGCACCTCTTACCCAGAGACAGAGCAGAGGGGCGCTGGGGAGAGGAGGCGCAGCCCACTGCCATTGGGGGGCTCCTTGCACCAGCATAGACCTGAGGGGTGCAGGAAAGCAGTAGCCACCCCCTGGCTTTGGAGGGAGCCCTGTGAAGCTGTGCAGGTGGGTCTGTATAGCTGGTGTGTCTGCCCTCCTGTGTGTCACAGGTGTCCATGTATGTGCTTCTGAGGGCACATGGGTTACATGTATTGTGGTACACAATCATGGCTACACAGTGCATGATTGTGTGCACACATGCTCACATGCCATGACCTGTTCCTCTGTGTAGCTGGGATTACAGGGATGAGGCCTTGTGCCCAGCCAGGAGATGCTTTGATTGGCACTCAGGATGAGTGCATGTGTATGGACATGCATATCTGAATGCATGTCTATACACAATCCTGTATTTGTGCGTGTGTGTGTGTATATATATATATATATATATGTATGTATGTATACGCATCTTGGTGTGGTGTTGAGGTGGGTATTGGGGTGTGGGTGTTGGGGTACGAGTGTTGGGGTATAGGTGTGGGGATGCAGGTGTGGGGATGTGGTGCTGGGGTGTGGGTTCTGGTGGGTGTTGTATGGGTGTGGTGGGGATGTGGTGCTGGGTGTTGTATGGGTGTGGTGCTGGGGTGTGGGTTTTGGTGGGTGTTGTATGGGTGTGGTGGGGTGTGGCGCTGGGGTGTGGGTTCTGGTGGGTGTTGTATGGGTGTGGTGGGGTGTGGTGCTGGGGTGTGGGTTCTGGTGGGTGTTGTATGGGTGTGGTGGGGATGTGGTGCTGGGTGTTGTATGGGTGTGGTGGGGTGTGGTGCTGGGGTGTGGGTTCTGGTGGGTGTTGTATGGGTGTGGTGGGGATGTGGTGCTGGGTGTTGTATGGGTGTGGTGGGGTGTGGTGCTGGGGTGTGGGTTTTGGTGGGTGTTGTATGGGTGTGGTGGGGTGTGGTGCTGGGGTGTGGGTTCTGGTGGGTGTTGTATGGGTGTGGTGGGGATGTGGTGCTGGGTGTTGTATGGGTGTGGTGGGGTGTGGGTGCTGGGGTGTGGGTTCTGGTGGGTACTGAGGTGTAGGTGTGGGTGCTGGGGTGTGGGGATGTGGTGCTGGGGTGGGTGTTGGTTTGGGGGATGGGTGTTGGAGTGCAGGTGTTCAAGTGTGCGTGTCTGAAGGGTGCAGATGTCTGCCTCTTGGAGGAAAGCCCACCCACCCCAGCAGGATCTCTGGTGCAGGCGGTACCTCTCCGTACGTGAGGGTGTTGTTGTAGATCCTCATCTCGGGGTACACGTTCTCTAGGTACCACTTGAAGCTGCGGCACTTCAGCCTCTGGCGCAGGGCCAGCCTCTCAGACACGTCCCCAAAGTCCACCCCGGGGTTCTGTGGGGTAGAAGCAGGGACAGGTGGAGTGCTGCGCATCGCAGCTCAGGTCTCCTCCCTACAGCAGCCCCCGGCCGCCTGGGGTGCCGAGACTGCATCCTGATCCCATCTTATGTGTGTGCACACGCTGCCCTCCTGAGGGGCCCTGGGTGCTGGCTTCTCCTTCCTGGCCTGTGTTCCTTGGGTTGATCTTGAGGGGCCGAGAACCAATCTCATGGGCAATCAATGCGCCCACACAGAGTCCCAGTGCGGACTCCAGACCCTGGGGCTGGGCAGAGTCCTGGGAGAGCTGAGTGGTCAGATCCCAGGAGGGAGGGCCTTGGGAGCTCACACTTGGCCGCTCCGGGAGCCTGCCTGCTACCGCCTTGCCCTTGGCTATTTTAATCAGTCCTAGGAGCCCCGAGCTGGCCTTGCTGAGTGCTCCGTCTTCCTGGTGAATCATGGGACCTAAGGGTGAGGAGGCCTGCAGAGAGGCCCCGTCCCCTCTCCCCGGGCTCAGGTTTCTTACAGCCTGGGGACAGGGGTGGCACTTAAGCCTGGGCTCCCAAAGTAAGTCTGTTTCAAAAACCAAACCAGGCCAGTGGTTCACACCTGTAATCCCAGCTACACAAGAAGCTGAGATCTCGGTTCAAGGCCAGTCCAGGCAGGAAAGTCCATGAGACTCTTATCTCCAATGAACCACCAGAAAACTGGAAGTGGTGCTGTGGCTCAGGTGGTAGAGTGCTAGCCTTGAGCTTAAGAGCTGAGGGACAGCGCCCAGGCCCAGAGTTCAGGCCCCACAACCAACAACAACAAAACAAAACAAAAAAACAAACAAACCACACGCGCGTGCACGCACTGGGTCAGGCTGTACGGCCTTCCCTGTGGCTGAGGCCCCAGGCCCAGCATAGCTGCCTGCAGGGTGCCGAGGAGAGGCTCTGCGGCCATGGCCAGCCACGGCTGCCCTCAGCTTCTCTGAGCGTGGAGGTGGCCGCCCTTTCCTGCCCCATCCTCCTGGCCCAGAGGCCCTGGCGTTGACTCCCCATGCCTCCGCCCCTCCCCGCTGGGCACCGGCTTACGGTCATGGGGATGTTCCAGGCCATATACACGTGGGACTTGAAGTCGTCCATCCACACCTCTGCGGCCCGCAGGGCGTTGCGCTTGGCGTAGTAGTCGATGTCGTTGTTGTAGGGCTTCTTGCTGCGCTCGATGTGTGCCACGCGAGAGCAGGGCAGCACTTCCATGCTGCCGCCGCACTGCCACACCTGGGGGCGGGACCCGGTGAGGCCCAGACAGCCCTGCCTCGGTCAGGGGGTGGAGGTGGGGGTCGGGGGACGCCCGTGCCTTCCTCAGGGACGATGCCCTGGGGGGGGCACAGGCTGCGTGCGAGCCTTCTCCCCTTTGGGGTTCCCTGCCAAGACTGATTTCTCTTGCGTGTTTTGTGACCATGGATCCTTTGCCTCCACCCACCCCATGGCTACGTCCCCTCCAGCCTCAGGGGTCTGTGCAGCTGCCTCTGCCCCAGGACCACGGCCCCCGTGACAGCAGGGCCACTGTCTGCACGTGCCCCGTCCCCAGATCCCATCCAACAGCCAGGCCTAAGGAGAATCTGCGCCAACCACCGCACCCCTCCCTGCCGGACCCCGCACAGACCTGGGCCTCACGGCCTGGTGTCCCACACCAGCTCCAGCTGATCCTTGCCCATCCATAGCCCTCCCTCTCCCTGCTGCCGGACCAAGGGCCTGGAGCCCACAGCTCATTTCATGCCTCCTGCCCTGGCTCATGCCAGGGGTGTCTGGCAGGCAGGAGTTTGGGAGCTGTTTGGTAAGACTGGCCTTATTGGTTTGGGAGAGGCTTGGCAGCACTGAGCTGTGAACTGAGGGCTTTGCACTCGCTCAGGTTCCTTCCTGCGGCCGCGGTATTGCAAAGGGACCGCACACAAGCTGTGACATCCCACTGCATCTAGGCTGGAGGTGGTGTGTGTCTTGGAGGATTGCGAACCTCCTGGTCACTTGCTGGTGGTGAGTGCCAGGCCTCTGGTGGTCGGATGTCTCCCTGTGCAGGCATTGCAAAGGTGGACAAATCTCCCAGGAAGGGCCTGGGAGCAGGACGGACACCTCTCCTCTTGTTGGAGCCCGAGGCCCTAGGATTTCTTGCATATTTGGATAGGAGGCTGTATATAGGACTCTCTGGGATGCTTCTATGCATCAGAGGCTCTGCTGTCTCAGAACCGGCCAAACCTCTGTCAATTCCAGATGAATACTGGCAACAGGGTCTTCCCTGTGGCTGGCAGAGACAGCAAACCCCTCATAGTGTGCTGGGCCCAGCCCTGGATCTCGAAGGAGAGCAGCCTCATCCTCTTCCAGACCACCTCAGCCTCCCCCAGAAAACCTGATCCTCCCCCAGACAACCTGAGCCTCCCCCAGACAACCTGATCCTCCCCCAGACAACCTGATCCTCCCCCAGACAACCTGAGCCTCCCCCAGACAACCTGATCCTCCCCCAGACAACCTCAGCCTCCCCCAGACAACCTCATCCTCCCCCAGACAACCTGAGCCTCCCCCAGACAACCTGATCCTCCCCCAGACAACCTCATCCTCCCCCAGACGACCTGATCCTCCCCCAGACAACCTGAGCCTCCCCCAGACAACCTCATCCTCCCCCAGACAACCTCATCCTCCCCCAGACAACCTCATCCTCCCCCAGAAAACCTGATCCTCCCGCAGACGACCTGATCCTCCCCCAGACAACCTGATCCTCCCCCAGACAACCTGAGCCTCCCCCAGACAACCTCATCCTCCCCCAGACAACCTCATCCTCCCCCAGACAACCTCATCCTCCCCCAGACAACCTCATCCTCCCCCAGAAGACCTGATCCTCCCCCAGACGACCTGATCCTCCCCCAGACGACCTGATCCTCCCCCAGACGACCTGATCCTCCCCCAGACACCCTGATCCTCCCCCAGACGACCTGATCCTCCCCTAGATGACCTGATCCTCCCCCAGACCACCTGATCCTCCCCCAGACACCCTGATCCTCCCCCAGACAACCTCAGCCTCCCCCAGACAACCTCAGCCTCCCACAGACAACCTGATCCTCCACCAGACGACCTGATCCTCCCCCAGACGACCTCATCCTCCCCCAGACGACCTGATCCTCCCTCAGACGACCTGATCCTCCCCCAGACGACCTCATCCTCCCCCAGACGACCTGATCCTCCCCCAGACGACCTCATCCTCCCCCAGACGACCTGATCCCCAGACAACCTGATCCTCCCCCAGACGACCTGATCCTTCCCCAGACGACCTGATCCTCCCCCTGATCCTCCCCCAGACGACCTGATCCTCCCCCAGACGACCTGATCCCCAGACAACCTGATCCTCCCCCAGACAACCTGATCCTCCCCCAGACGACCTGATCCTCCCCCAGACGACCTGATCCTCCCCCAGACGACCTGATCCTCCCCCAGACGACCTGATCCTCCCCCAGACGACCTGATCCTCCCTCAGACGACCTGATCCTCCCCCAGACGACCTGATCCTCCCTCAGACGACCTCATCCTCCCCCAGACGACCTGATCCTCCCCCAGACGACCTGATCCTCCCTCAGACGACCTGATCCTCCCCCAGACGACCTGATCCTCCCTCAGACGACCTCATCCTCCCCCAGACGACCTCATCCTCCCCCAGACGACCTCATCCTCCCCCAGACACCCTGATCCTCCCCCAGACGACCTGATCCTCCCCCAGATGACCTGATCCTCCCCAGATGACCTGATCCTCCCCCAGACACCCTGATCCTCCCCAGATGACCTGATCCTCCCTCAGATGACCTGATCCTCCCCAGACGACCTGATCCTCCCCAGACGACCTGATCCTCCCCCAGACGACCTGATCCTCCCCCAGACGACCTGATCCTCCCCCAGATGACCTGATCCTCCTCCAGACAAGTGGCAGCAGAGCCGGTGCCACTTATGGTGAGTTAGGTGGGCACCTGGCCATTTTTCCAGGAAGGACTAAGGCTCTGGCTCATTCCCATTCTCCTGGTGGCAAGTGTGGCTCCGAGGACAAGCGGCAAACCTGGCCGCTGCTGCCCTGTGGCTGGGCACCTTGGCTTCTGGGTCAGAGCAAGCGTACCGCATGCTCATTGGGTTCCTTCGATGCAATGGGACTGGAAAGGATGCCGTTCCTGGTCACCATCTTGGCTGATGGAGGCTGCAAGAAGCCATCCATCCACGCAGCTGTCCACGCAGATGTCTGTCCACATAGATGTCCGTCCACGCAGATGTCCATCCACACAGACGTCCCTCCTCCATCCTCCAAGAGGGTGGCTGGGTGGGTCTTCTTTGAGTCCAGTTTCCTCCAAGGTGACTGAGGCTGGCCCCGGGTACACCCAGTGGCCTCCTGTCTGTTGGCTTCTTGAGCTACCAGAAGCCAGGCTCCTGCCCACAGGTGATCTCCCCTGGTGTGAGCTGACCGGTGACCATCAAGGCCAGCCTCCCGGCAAGCCAAGGCTCCATCTCCAGCCAGGCCTGGTGCCGGGGGCCGATGGCTCCTTCCTGTGGCCACGGTGATTCTTCCTTCTGCCACCAGACACCAGCCTTGCAGGAACAACTTGCCCAGGGGGTTTTGGCTTTGCAAAGGGCTCTACCTCCAGGGGTCAGGGCATCACCCTCTACAGGATCCCTGTCCTCCCCTGCCCCGCCCCCAGAGCTTCAGGCTGGTCACATTCTAGTTCCTCCCTCTGGAGAGAGAAAGGCAGATGCTTGCTTGTCAGCAAGCCAGGGCAGCAGGCGCATGCTGCAGCACAGCCGTGGCTCTGGGCGGTGCTGGCCTCAGTTGTGAGGAGTGCTAAAGGCCGGAAGGAGAGGCAAGCACACCCATCCGAAGGCACTGGAGGCCCCACTGACACGGAGGGGCCACTGACACGGGAAGGACTGGTCGGCCATAAAGCAACATGGTAATGGCTGAAAGCTGAAGGCCCCAAGTGGGCACAGATGTGCACTTGGTGCGTGGTGGAGCCACTTTTCCAAGGGAAGGGGGAATTACACAATGTGGTGCAGGAAGACCCCAACCCCACGTCTCCAGAAACACGCATCACAGCGGGTGAAGCCCGTCACATGAGAACTGTCCTGGACTCAGGAAGAAGCAAGAGTGTGCAAAGGGCCAGTGGTCACTGCCTGCTCTGAGCACCGCTTGGGGGGGTGGGGGGGAGGCTCCTGGTACTAGTCACCACCCCAGCTGACTGGGACAGGCCCCGTGAAGCAGGTCTACAGCACAGGACGGGTCCACAGCTCCCTTGTCTGTCCACCCCCTTGGGTCATGTCCTGGGCAGTGCCAGCCCTCCACAGGGTAGACGTGAGCCCGTCTCCCAGGAGCCCCCGTCTCTGCCTGGAGCTTTGCGGCACTCTGCCGACGGATTTCCTGACCAGACTCTGGTGCTTGCTTTTTGTCCTGACCTTTATTAAACTGAATGGACACGATGAATTCACTTCCCCTAATCGGCATGAGGACTTTCCTCATTAGGAGACGCGCAGCTGGCATTTCTACAAGCACAGGAATGTAAATTGGCCCCAAGACCACGGATTTTCTCTAATTGGGCCAAATAGATCTGAAAGGCCGTGTGGGCCGCCGTGTTAACCACGGATCCGAAGCGGGAGCAGAGGCAGGCGACACAGAGCACAGACGGGCTGGAGTGGCGGGAAGCTCCATGCGCTCCTGGGAGGGCAGAGCTGCGCTGCTCGGGTCACTGGCCTCCACCTCCGACTGCACACCAGGACGGCAGCGGGCTCGAGGTGAGGGGACAGAGCCGAGCTCCGGGGGACGGCAACCTAGGTCCTGGGCCAGCCAGGTGGCCGGGGGAGGCGTGCTGGGCGGGGCTGACTGCTAGACACGGGAATGAGGCCCGTGTGTGGTCAGAGGCTGCCACTTCCCAGGTGGAATGCCAGCTGCAGCAGCCGACCAAGTCCAGGCCTCGGCAGCTGTGGGTCAGCACACCCTGGCCCGGTGTCCGCCCAGCGGCCGCTCCTCAGGACCAGCTCCTCCTGCGGGCTTCATGCAGGGCGCCTGCTTGGGGCTGCAGGGCATCCCAAGTGGTCAAAGAGCTTCTGCTCCTGTCCACCCCTCCCTTCGCCTTCCAACCGGGTCCCCACTCCGTGGCTTATTCAGGTCCTCAGGCTCACCAGCTGACAGGTCCCCAGCCCTCTCCCTCCCCCTCCACACAGCTAACCAGCTCCCACCCCTCCCTCCCCCTCCACACAGCTAACCAGCTCCCACCCCTCCCCCTCCACACAGCTAACCAGCTCCCACCCCTCCCCCTCCACACAGCTAACCAGCTCCCACCCCTCCCCCTCCACACAGCTAACCAGCTCCCACCCCTCCCCCTCCACACAGCTAACCAGCTCCCACCCCTCCCCCTCCACACAGCTAACCAGCTCCCACCCCTCCCTCCCCCTCCACACAGCTAACCAGCTCCCACCCCTCCCCCTCCACACAGCTAACCAGCTCCCACCCCTCCCCCTCCACACAGCTAACCAGCTCCCACCCCTCCCTCCCCCTCCACACAGCTAACCAGCTCCCACCCCTCCCCCTCCACACAGCTAACCAGCTCCCACCCCTCCCCCTCCACACAGCTAACCAGCTCCCACCCCTCCCCCTCCACACAGCTAACCAGCTCCCACCCCTCCCCCTCCACACCGCTAACCAGCTCCCACCCCTCCCCCTCCACACAGCTAATTGGTCCCCAGTGCCTCCCCCCCCCCACCAGGCAGCAGCAGGAGAGAGGGCCTGAAAGGTCAGAGCACCAGGCTTCGTGCCCCCCCCCCCCGCCCTTGCTGGTGTCGGGTGACCGGCTGCCCCACGGGCCGGGGCCTCGTTGGCCCTCGCTGGCCCTCGCTGGCCTGCTCACCCTCATCCCCAGCTCGATGTTCTCCGCGCCGTACACCTCCATGCCCGGGTCCAGCAGGCCGATGTCCCCAAAGTATTCGCGGTCCACCACAAATGAGCAGCCGATCATGGCGGGTGTCCTGCGGAGACAGAGGGCAGCGGGCGTCACCTGAGGGGCGGGGGGGGGGGGGGGGGGGAGGGCGACACCTGCGGGACCTGTGGGGCCACACCTGCCCCTGCGGGGCTGAGCCCACCTGCAGGGCCTGCAGGGCCGACAGCCCACAGACGCCAGAGGACAGCCCAGCAAAGGCCCAGCTCACTCTGCACTCGATTTTGGCCGCAAAGCCAACCATAGCGAAGTTCAACACTGATTTTAACCACCGGCCCCAGACAGGCCACGTTACATCAGGGTGGCTTTTCCTTCCTCAGCCACCACCACCATGACCGTGATGTCTGGTGGACAGACACCGTTTCCCATTGAGCCTGTTAACGCTGGTAATGATCTATTATTATTATTACTCAGTTCCAAAGTAAACTCGAACCCTAAGGCGATCGCAGCAGAGTCAGCTTGCTCTGAATTTATTTGTGGGAGAAAACCTTGCTGTGATAACAGAAAACAGGAAAGCTAAGGGGCACCTTGCTGGAAGGGCCTCAGGTCTGGGGTGCTCTCGAGTTGGGGGTACACTGGAGGTTCTTGCGGTGCTGTCTCCACTCTGGCTGTCTTACAGCCTGCGGGGACACGGGGGACCTGAGCTTTCCCTTCCCCGGTGCGGCCAGGCCCTGCCTCTCCTGGCACCCTCTGCCTTTACCTCCTGTCTTCTGAGTATTTAGGTTCCAACAAATCCCCTCGAAATGTTGAAAGAGGGAGCAACCCACACAGCCTCGGTGAGCTGGGGAGGTAAATGGTGGGCTTTCCACACAGGGCTGAGAAAGGCCCGGCCATCCGCCTCCCAGGAGGAACTGGCCTCGGGGAGACTGGCATGCCGAGGCCTCCAGGGGGCGCTGGTGGTCCGGGGAGGAGGCAGGGCCAGCCTAGGATGGGGAAGCACAGCTAGCCCACCTTCATTTCCGGAGGGCTGAGGTCGGTGAGGTCAGGTGGTGAGCCTCCTCCGTCCTTATGTGGAAGGACCTGCTGTGCTGGCAGTGCTGGTTCTGGAACACTGTCCACCCGGGGCCCGCAGGGGGCCCACAGGGGTCCACACAGACAGGTCCACACAGACAGGTCCACATGAGCCCACACAGGTCCACACGGATGGGTCCACACAGGCCCACACAGGTCCACACGGATGGGTCTACACAGGTCCATACAGACAGGTCCACACAGACGAGTCCACACAGGTCCACACGGGGCCCACACAGGTCCACACGGGGTCCACACGGGGCCCGCATGGGTATACACGGGGTCCACATGGGTCTACATAAGGCCCACATGGGGCCAACACAGGTCCACACAGATCTACACAGGTCCACACAGGGTCTACCTGGGGCACACACGGGTCCACACAGGTCCACACGGGTCCACCCGGGACCCACATTGGGTCCACCTGGGCCCACACAGGCCCACACAGGCCCACACAGGCCCACACGGGTCCACACAGGCCCACACAGGTCCACATGGGGCCACACAGGCCCACACAGGTCCACACGGGTCCACACGGGGCCACACAGGCCCACACGGGCCCACACGGGGCCACACGGGGCCACACGGGGCCACACGGGCCCACACAGGCCCACACAGGCCCACACAGGCCCACACGGGGCCACACAGGCCCACACAGGTCCACACGGGGCCACACAGGCCCACACAGGGCCCACACGGGGCCCACACGGGGCCCACACGGGGCCCACACGGGGTCCACACAGGGCCCACACAGGCCCACACAGGCCCACACGGGGTCCACACGGGGCCCACACGGGGCCCACACGGGGCCACACGGGCCCACACGGGTCCACACGGGGCCACACAGGCCCACACAGGGCCCACACAGGCCCACACAGGCCCACACAGGCCCACACGGGGCCCACACGGGGCCCACACAGGCCCACACAGGTCCACACAGGGCCCACACAGGCCCACACAGGCCCACATGGGGCCCACACGGGGCCCACATGGGGCCACACAGGCCCACACGGGTCCACACGGGGCCCACACAGGCCCACACAGGGCCCACACAGGCCCACACAGGCCCACACAGGTCCACACAGGGCCCACACAGGTCCACACAGGGCCCACACAGGCCCACACAGGTCCACACGGGGCCCACACGGGGCCCACACAGGCCCACACTGGCCCACACAGGCCCACACGGGGCCCACACAGGGCCACACGGGGCCCACACAGGGCCACACAGGTCCACACAGGCCCACACAGGCCCACACAGGTCCACACGGGGCCCACACGGGGTCCACACGGGGCCACACGGGGCCCACACGGGGCCCACACTGGCCCACACAGGCCCACACGGGGCCCACACAGGGCCACACAGGTCCACACAGGCCCACACAGGCCCACACAGGTCCACACGGGGCCCACACGGGGTCCACACGGGGCCACACGGGGCCCACACAGGCCCACACTGGCCCACACAGGCCCACACGGGGCCCACACAGGTCCACACAGGCCCACACAGGTCCACACAGGTCCACACAGGCCCACACAGGGCCCACACAGGCCCACACAGGCCCACACAGGCCCACACAGGTCCACACAGGCCCACACGGGGCCCACACAGGTCCACACGGGGCCCACAGAGGTCCACACGGGGCCCACACAGGCCCACACAGGCCCACACAGGTCCACACGGGGCCCACACAGGTCCACACAGGCCCACACAGGCCCACACGGGGCCCACACTGGCCCACACAGGCCCACACAGGTCCACACGGGCCCACACAGGTCCACATGGGGCCACACAGGTCCACACGGGGCCCACACAGGCCCACACAGGTCCACACGGGGCCACACAGGTCCACACGGGGCCCACACTGGCCCACACGGGGCCCACACTGGCCCACACAGGGCCCACACTGCTCCACACGGGTCCACCCGGGACCCACATTGGGTCTACCTGGGGCCACACGGGGTCCACACAGGGCCCACACAGGCCCACACGGGGCCCACACGGGTCCACACGGGTCCACCCGGGACCCACATTGGGTCCACCTGGGGCCACACGGGGTCCACACGGGGCCCACACGGGGTCCACACGGGGCCCACACAGGTCCACACGGGGCCCACACAGGTCCACACGGGGCCCACACAGGTCCACATGGGGCCCACACAGGTCCACATGGGCCCACACTGGTCCACACGGGGCCCACACTGGCCCACACAGGGCCCACACTGATCCACACTGGTCTACACGGGGTCCACACGGGCCCACACGGACCAGGCCCACACTGACTGGGCTCCTTCAGGCACTACGCACCACAGGTCATCACCTTCCTGATGTCCGGCTCTGAATCTGCCTGGCCCAGCCCAGTCAGACCCCCGCCACCATCTCGGCTTCCCTCCGGCCCCTCCTCTTCCTCAGTCCTGCACTTGGTGGCTCTGACCATGGGGGAGCGTAGATGCCAATGTCATAGTTTACTTAAATTTGGAAACCACTGCAGTGACTGGGGGCTGGGGGTGAAAGGCGGGGATCGGGGTGCTTGGGACCGGGGCGCTGGGGACCTGGGGTGACAGGCAGGGACCCAGGGGTGACAGGCAGGACCGGGGTGGTGGGGGCCGGGGGTGACAGGCCGGGACCAGGGCCTTGGGGCCCCCGGTCTGCGGGAGGTGCTGTCAAGTCCCTGGCCGGGAGGCAGTGTCTGCCCAAGGCCGGGCTCCAAACCGCAAGCAGTCTGATAAAGGTCCTCCAGGGGGCGCTTGTGGAAGCTGCACAGGACAAGGTCTCCTTGGTTGAAGAGCGGTGGGGCTGCTCCCTCCAGCCTCCTGGCTGGCTCCCGGCGGGGCGGCGGCGGCGGCGGCAGCGTGGTTAGCTAGCTTTCAGGACCAGGTGTTAATGGCTCCCAGGCCTCCCCTGGGCTTCCTGAATTTCACTGACTGATAAACTGTCACACACAAGGCATTTGTTTTGCCACTAGTTGAGATCCTTGAGGCCATTTCAACCCCTGCTCCCTGACCGGCTGGCTCCGGGACCCATCTGTGGCACGGCACTGGGCACTGCGATGGAGCTGGAGCCCAGGCCCTGCCGGGCGGCGTCGACACCCAGCCCAGCTCCCAACAGAAGCCCCAGGGGCCGGGCTGCCTTGGCAGGCTGTCAGTCTCACGGTCAACATCCTCGGTGGTGGAAATCAGAGGGGTGTGGCCGGAGCCCAGTGATTCCACTTCACCGCGCCCACAGCCCTGCCCGGCCTCAGGCTGCCCTGGGACTTCATTATCACGGACATGTTCCGCCAGCAGAGCAGGGCCACGCCAGGCCTGAGGGTGCCCGGCCCGGCTGTGCTGATGTTCAGTTTTCACAGTCTGTCGGGCAGAGTCTGCAAGACCCTCCTGCAAGAGGTGCCGGCCCAGGTGCTGCGAGGTGCTCTTAGGCCCTTGGGCATGCCCGTGGGCATGGTGGCCTCCGCCAGCCCCTGCCCTGCCCCTGCCCTGGAGGCCTGTCAGGGCCTGAGGTGCAATTCACTTCTGGGACAGTGCCGGAGCCTAGCCTCCCCGGGACAAGGGGAGCCTCTGGAATTTGAGGCACAGGCTCCCCAGGAGTTTATTGGACAGGGGTGGAGAGAACTGGGGAAAGGTCTCAAACTACAGGAGCTTGGGGGTTGGTGGGACTGACACAGCAACTTAGGTGATTTAGCTGTGCAGGAATCAGGCGTCAGAGAGACATCGTCAGGGAGCAGCTGGGTCTGGGCTGAGCGGAGCTCCCGTGCCGCTGGGCACAGGCCCGCAGTCCACCAAGGCGAGTGGCCCTGGCCTCCAAGACATGTGCATTCCAAACATGTACAATCCCTCTCTTTAAAGGAACTAATTCAAAAAATAAAGTCTTGGCAGGATAGTCTGTGGGGATCTGATTAAATAATCGTGGGTCTCTGTCCACAGCAAAAAGCATTCCCATCACTGGACAGTGCGATGAAAGTGAACTATATGTCATGGGTGGAGATGGGAGGGAGGGAGGGAGGGAGGAAAAGGAAGAGACAGTAGAAAGGAAATGCGCTCATTACCTGACTCGTTAAAATAACAATAAAGTAAATTTTAAAAAACCCAGCTGGGCTCCTATAATCCTAGCTACTCAGGAGGCTGAGATCTGAGGATCGTAGTTCAAAGCCAGCCTGGGCAGGAAAAGTCATGAGACTCCCATCTCCAACGAACCACCAGAAAACGGGAAGTGGCGCTGTGGCTCAAAGTGGTAGAGCGCTCGCCTTGAGCTGAAGAGCTCAGGGACAGCGCCCAGGCCCTGAGTTCAAGCCCCAGGACCAACCAAAAAACAAACCATCCATCCTCAGGCCCTACTTTCCTCTCTCTGCCTGGGCCACGGGATTTGTGTGCCACCACCGGCTCCTTGCTCTGTGTCTCTACCACTGTCTGTCCCCGGCTCCCTCTCTTCCGCTTGCCTGGCCCCCAGCCCCCTGGCCTCAGGCCTGCCCAGGCCTGCTGTCTCCTCACCCCTCACCTGATGGGCGCGGACTCATCCCCTCGGTCCAGCCAGTCCTGCGGTGGGATGATGTACATGCACCACAGGCCCCAGTTGTAGCCATGGGCGGCGTTGGCGTACTGCTGCACCTCGAACGTGTTGTACTTGATGTTGTCGATGGCAGGCAGGATGATGCGCCTCCGGTCCTCTCGAATCCGCGTGAGGGCAGGCTCAGCCCTGTGGGAGACGCGCGGACGGTGAGGGAGCCCGCAGAGCACTCTCCTGAGGGTGGGGGCAGGAGCCCCACCGGGCAGCGCCCAGAGGCTTCGCCGGGGCCTGGCTTCCTCCTCCTGGGCCCTCTGCAGCACCCGGTCCAGCTGCATCAGGCACTAAGGGCCAGGGTGGTCTAGGCTGCAGGCTGCTCAACCTGCTCACCTTGCCCTGGAGGGTCACTTGGGGTCAGCTGGGGACTTAGGCTCCCAGCACAGCCTCGGCCTGACACCATCCCCTGTTCTCCCTCGGCACCAGGGGAGGTGGTGCCAGGGGTCAGCATTCACTGAAGGCCTGTCATTCTCACTCTGTCCTAATGGTGGAATTCATCCATGAACCACAAACTGAAAAAAGCCCAAGTCTCAGGGAGCTCATGGTGCAATGTGTGCTGTGCAGCATTCAGGTCAGCCTGGTGTGTGTCGGTGGGGGGAACAGGGGGGAAGGGGGGGCAGGGGAGGAGGGGGAGGGAGCAGGAGGGAGGGGGGAGGTGACAGGCAGGCCCTGTGGGAGCAGGCAGGGTGAGGGGTGAGGTGACCACCCTTCCCAGTGACCTGTCCAGCGTGGAGGTGATCTAGAGCGCTGGGCAGGGAGAGCTGTCCAGCGTGGAGGGGGTCTGGGGGGCTGGGCAGGTCAGCTGTCCAGCATGGAGGGGGTCTGGGGGGCTGGGCAGGGTGAGCTGTCCAGCGTGGAGGGGGTCTGGGGTGCTGGGCAGGTCAGCTGTCCAGCGTGGAGGGGGTCTGGGGTGCTGGGCAGGTCAGCTGTCCAGAGTGGAGGGGGTCTGGGGGGCTGGGCAGGTCAGCTGTCCAGTGTGGAGGGGGCCTGGGGGGCTGGGCAGTGTGAGCTGTCCAGTGTGGAGGGGGTCTGGGGGGCTGGGCAGGTCAGCTGTCCAGTGTGGAGGGGGTCTGGGGTGCTGGGCAGGTCAGCTGTCCAGCGTGGAGGGGGTCTGTGGGCAGGTGGGGGCTGCACTGCCCCCAGCCTGTGTCCTGAGCAGGTGGAGAGAGTCAGGTACAAAGGTGACCGGGGCAGGGTAACATCACAGCGTCCTTGGCTGGGATCTGGGGCGGCAGGGGCGGCAGGTGTGGCAGGGCCAGGTGGGTTCCTGGAACCTCGGCTGGGCTCCACCTGTCCGGTGGACGGGAAGCCCCAGTGCTCTGGGCGGGGGGGGGGGGGGGGGGCTGGTCCTGCCCCGCCAGAGTCTCCTCCGCTCAGGAGGCTGGAGGCCCTGCATTTGTTGACCCCCCTCTCTGCTGGCGGGGAGGGCAGGGCATTAGTTAGCAAAGGGCCGCAGGAATGGAAGACAAATCACTAATCAGAGCGACTTGGGGAGGTGCTATCTCAGATGGAGAGCTGGGGGGCTGGCTTTCCTTGTGGGAATGAAAGTTACACCCACTTAAAACTAGCTGTGGGTGCGGCAGCCCTGGCTTCCTCTGGCACTGGCTGCACCTCGGAGAGCTGACCACGCACATGGTGAGCAACGGAAAGGCATCTAGGCCTGGCCCACGCGGAGTAGTGGTGAGGCCGCTAGAGTGTCAGTGAGGAAGGAAATCACCTCCCAGCGTGGCAGGGGAGAGGCGTGGGGGCAGTGAGGGGCCTCCTGGGAGGAGGAGCTGCATCTGTTTGCCACCTGCTGGGATGGCCCAACTCAGAAACGCCACAGCCCTGGGACAGCCTTGTCCCTGCTGCACCCACTAAAGGCCAAACGGAGCCAACCAGCAGGAGCTGAGAGACGGGAGTCTGCTCCCCTGGGGACCCACATGGCGGACCTCATGCCAGCACAGACAGACCTCAGGGGCCACGCCTTCACCGTCCACACAGCGAGGTTCTCCAGTCGGGAGATTGATGCCAAACCCCTGAGGTCCAGCGTCTCTTGAAAATGGGTCAGAAGGGGACCGGGAGGGCAGCTCCCTGGTACAGTGCTCACCTGATGTGTGTAAAGCCAGGGATGTACGCCCAGCACGGCAGGGAGAGGGAAGAAAGAGAGAGGGAGAGAGAGGGAAAGGGGGAAGGAGAGGGGGAGTGGAGGGGGGGAGAGAGGGAGGGAGGGGGAAGAGGAAGAGGGGAGGGAGAGGAAAGGGAGAGGGAGGGATGGAGGGAGGGAGGGAGAGGGAGAAGGGTGGGGGAGGAGAAGGGGGAGGGAAAGGGAAAGAGGGAGGGATGGAGGGAGGGAGAGGGAGGCAGAGACAGAGGGGGAGAGATTCGAGGGAGGGGTGGGAGGGAAGTGGGCAATGGTTCGGCACTGCCCTGGCCGGCCCGGCCTGTGTGTCCCTGCCCTGTGCACCCTGTCCCTGCAGGACCGCGGGGGCTGGCTCCCAGCCTCCCCTGGGGTGGAGCGGGTCCCGGCCCTTACCAGCCTGTGTTGAACTCCACGTGGGCGTCGAAGAAGCCCACCACGGGCGCCGTGGCCGCCTTCCAGCCCTGCAGCCGCGCCCGGATGAGACCCTCACGCCGGCTGTTGCGCACCACCTTCACCAGGCCCGGGTACCGCTTGTGCACGTACTGGTCCAGGCTGAGCTTGAGCTCCGCTGTGGGGAGAGGGAGGGCTCAGCACGCGCCGGGGGCCCACGCTGCGATGCTCGGGCCTCAGCCCTACGTCCACAATCCCTGAGTATCGTTCAAAGCCCCACGGGGCTGGGCCACAGGGACAGTGAAAGAGAAAACTGGTCATGTAGAGAGAGGTCAGCACCAGAGCAAGAGAAAACGGGACCAGCTGCGGCCACCGGGAGATGAGCAGAATGGGATGGGAAGTCAGACACAGGCCACAACCTGGATGGACAAGCCAGTCCAAGGACAGTGCAGTCTGGCCACCGGAGTGGCCCCTGGAGCAGTCCAACTCGGGGTCAGACAGCAAGATGGGGGCTGGGGAGGGGGAGGGGAGGGGCAGGGGAGGGGAGGGACAGGGGAGGGGCTGGGGAGGGGCTGGGGCAGACAGCAGGATGGGGGCTGGGGAGGGGCTGGGGGCTGGGGAGGGGCTGGGGAGGGGCTGGGGAGGGGCTGGGGAGGGGCTGGGGGCTGGGGAGGGGCTGGGGAGGGGCTGGGGAGGGGCTGGGGGCTGGGGAGGGGCTGGGGCAGACAGCAGGATGGGGGCTGGGGAGGGGCTGGGGAGGGGCTGGGGGCTGGGGAGGGGCTGGGGCAGACAGCAGGATGGGGGCTGGGGAGGGGCTGGGGAGGGGCTGGGGGCTGGGGAGGGGGCTGGAGCAGAGCTTTGGCTGGCAGGGCCCCAGCGGCCTCCTAGGTGGGAGGCGATGGGACAGCGCCATACATGTCCTCAACACGGTGCTGGCACACTAAGAACAGCTAGCACAGTAAATTGTGTACATTTTAGCCCAACTTTGAAAAAAAAGGAAGAATCCCTGAATCCCTGACACCCCCACAATCAGTAACAGTTCCTCCCAGGACCGGGACGCAGCGGGGACTGAGGCACATCGTGCGAACAGGAGCAGTGGCTTGAGCCAGGGCTGCACACAGCCCAAGGGCCAGAGGACTCTCCCCGGCGGGTGGGGGGGACAGGGGCTCCCCCTGCCCCAGGAGGTTTGGGACTGGCCCTGTTCTCACCTGATCATGCCTTCTGGCCTCCAGCCAAGTCCCTGTCACTTCAAGTCCCAGGTTTTGCTCTATGTTTGGGAGACAGCACTGCACCCAGAGCCTACAGAGGGCCATGGAGCTGGCCTGACCAGAGCAGGCCCTCCCCAGTGCCCCCTCCCCTCCCCAGCCTACAGAGCGCCGTGGAGCTGGCCCTCCCCAGTGCCCCCTCCCCTCCCCAGCCTACAGAGCGCCGTGGAGCTGGCCCTCCCCAGTGCCCCCTCCCCTCCCCAGCCTACAGAGCGCCGTGGAGCTGGCCCTCCCCAGTGCCCCCTCCCCTCCCCAGCCTACAGAGTGCCGTGGAGCTGGCCCTCCCCAGTGCCCCCTCCCCTCCCCAGCACCCCCGGACGAGCCTGTGCCCTCCCCCCCCCTGGTGGTGGCACTCACCGTTATCACTGTTGTCATCCACTAGGATGACCTCCTTCAGGAGCTGGGAGGGCGTGTGGTTGACCACGCTGTGCACGGAGCGCAGGATGACCGAGAGGGCCTCGTTGACAAAGATGAAGACCACCGACACCTGGGGCAGGTCTTTGGCGTAGGTCATCTGTCTGCACCTGCGGGAGGCACCGTGCTCAGTGGAGGCCGTGATGGCCGCTGGGGAGCAGGGGCTGCCGGAGGCCCCGCCGGACCAGGCCCGGGGCGTGTGCAGGGCAGGATCACAGTCCTGCAGCAGCTGCGGCCTCACACTGAGCCTTCGGGACGGGCTCGAGGCTGGAGCCCGGTGGTCACGTCCTGCCGGCCCCATGTGGGGCCTCTCCCCTCACTGTGCAGCAAGAGGACCTGCGAAGTCAGCAGAGGTTGAGGGGCCAGAGCAGCAGGGTCAGGGCAGCACCCGCGGGGTCAGGGCAGCACCCCTGGGGTCAGGGCAGCACCCGCGGGGTCAGGGCAGCACCCGCGGGGTCAGGGCTGCACCCCTGGGGTCAGGGCAGCACCCCTGGGGTCAGGGCAGCACCCGCGGGGTCAGGGCAGCACCCGCGGGGTCAGAGCAGCACCCGCGGGGTCAGGGCAGCACCCGCGGGGTCAGAGCAGCACCCGCGGGGTCAGAGCAGCACCCGCGGGGTCAGAGCAGCACCCCTGGGGTCAGGGCAGCACCCCTGGGGTCAGGGCAGCACCCACGGGGTCAGAGCAGCACCCCTGGGGTCAGGGCAGCACCCGCGGGGTCAGAGCAGCACCCCTGGGGTCAGGGCAGCACCCCTGGGGTCAGGGCAGCACCCGCGGGGTCAGGGCAGCACCCGCGGGGTCAGGGCAGCACCCGCGGGGTCAGGGCAGCACCCGCGGGGTCAGAGCAGCACCCCTGGGGTCAGGGCAGCACCCCTGGGGTCAGGGCAGCACCCGCGGGGTCAGGGCAGCACCCCTGGGGTCAGGGCAGCACCCCTGGGGTCAGGGCAGCACCCCTGGGGTCAGGGCAGCACCCGCGGGGTCAGGGCAGCACCCGCGGGGTCAGGGCAGCACCCGCGGGGTCAGGGCAGCACCCCTGGGGTCAGGGCAGCACCCCTGGGGTCAGGGCAGCACCCCTGGGGTCAGGGCAGCACCCGCGGGGTCAGGGCAGCACCCGCGGGGTCAGGGCAGCACCTGCGGGGTCAGGGCAGCACCCCTGGGGTCAGAGCAGCACCCCTGGGGTCAGGGCAGCACCCCTGGGGTCAGAGCAGCACCCCTGGGGTCAGGGCAGCACCCACGGGGTCAGGGCAGCACCCGCGGGGTCAAGGCAGCACCCGCGGGGTCAGAGCTGCACCCCTGGGGTCAGGGCAGCACCCGCGGGGTCAAGGCAGCACCCGCGGGGTCAGGGCAGCATCCTCGGGGTCAGGGCAGCACCCCTGGGGTCAGAGCAGCACCTGTGGGGTCAGGGCCACACCCCTGGGGTCAAGGCAGCACCCTGGGGTCAGGGCAGCATCCTCGGGGTCAGGGCCGCACCCCTGGGGTCAGGGCCACACCCGCGGGGTCAGAGCAGCACCCCTGGGGTCAGGGCCACACCCGCGGGGTCAGGGCAGCACCCGTGGGGTCAGGGCCACACCCCTGGGGTCAGGGCAGCACCCCTGGGGTCAAGGCAGCACCCTGGGGTCAGGGCACCACCCACGAGGTCAGAGCAATGCCCCTGGTCTCTGAGCAGGTCACAGACTCCAGGGGAGTCCTGCACCAGCCACAGTTTGTCACCCAAGGTTTGTCCAGGTCGGGGTGATGGACACAGCAGAGAGCGGGTTCCACGAGGGGCCGCTCAGCTGCCCAGGGCCCCGCAGGCAAGACTGCAGACTGGGGGCTGCGGGGCTGAGGTCAGCCGCCGCTGCCTTTCCCATGTCAGACACCTCCCAGCAGGGCCCGCCCTGCCCCACTGTCGGCCCAGGTCCAGGGCAGCCCTTCCTCGTTTCCCCTGGGACTGTGCGGGGCAGCCCACGTGTCAGCCCCTCCATCCACATCCATTCCTCCTCGGGCTGAGATGGGGCCGATGCCCCGTGCCTGGCCATGTGTCCTTCTGATCTCGTGTTCCAGCTCAGAGCCCAGGGTCTCCCCGGGCTGAAGAGGGGATGGCGCTGGCTCTGGGCTTTTCTGTGGATACCCTGTCCCCACCCCAGCCGGCGCAGAGTTCTTCTGCGGACTGGTGGGTGCTCATGGTGGGCAGAGCGGGTGGGGCTGGGGCTGGGTCTGAGCACCAGGAGACAGATGCTACAGAGGCTCTGGATGGCAGCTGAGCGGCGGGGCTCCATTCCTTCAGACCTGTCCCAGGCCGTGGAAAACACAGAGGCAGCGCGCTACCGGGCTCCGGAGCTCCTCTGGGGGCTTGGCCACAATCGAATCGGGGTTCACGGGCTGCCCTCGGGGTCCTGGGAGCAAGTGTCTCCTAGGGGCACAGCCTCAGTCCGGACAGCGGCACCTGTCTCCTGCCAGGGACCGCGCTCAGCCCCAGCGGACAGGAAGCCAAGGGCCCAGGAGCCCTGCCGGTGTTCCTGGGAATCCAGGTGGGGGAGGTTCTCAGGAGGCGGGTCAGGGAGCTCGTTCTGTGCAGACATCTTCCCGCTTCCCGCCTGCTCCGCCCTGGGAGAATGTGTGAGCCCAGAATCCATAGCGAGGCGGCCCTGCCATGCCATCCGCCTGCCGCCAGCCACGCAGCTGAGCAGGAAACGCCATCACGTCGCCAGCTCCTGGGAAGAGGGAAGCAGCTCAGCCCTGGGTCCGCAGGCATTTCATGGCTAACACCGAGTCTGTGTCCACTTTCACTGAAGGGCCAGGACCAGCCTCGTTGTCAGGCTCTGAATCCGGCAGATTCCCCACCCCTGTCTGAGGGGGAAGACTGGCACCGCACCGGCCCGTGGCTGCAGACTCGGCTTGTCCACCGCAGGAATGAGCGTGGTCCTGAGTGCTCCCTTCAGGCCCCCCGATCAACAGCCAGAAGGGAGGTCCCAACCAGGCACAGGGCAACCGGACAGGACAGGCCCACGGCCAGGCCTCGGGCTGGCTGGCCGCAGCTCCAGCCCTGGCAAAGAGGGAAACCCGGACAAACGGCACGTCTTCTCTCATAAGCCGAAGCAAGGTCCAAAATTACCAGGACATGATCCATTACACAGGACTCTGGGTGTCACACACAGAGACCAAAGGAGGGTTCTCGGGAGGAGCACAAAGGTGCAATGCCTACGGTCTCTAGCGATAGAAGATACTGTTTACCCAAACTCCAGGGAATGGAAACAAGAGGGCCATTCTTTGTTGTTTTCGTTTTCTTTTCTTTTTGTCTTGTTTGCTCACTTACCTGTCTTTGGGAGGGTCAAGGGGGCACAGAAAAGGAGGGACAAAAGGCGAACAAATGCAGTAGTGGTACTCACTAGACATTTGAAAATAAACTACACTGTGTGGGTGGGGAGGGGAGGGAAAACTGGTACTCAGTGAGGGAAGGGAGGGAGGGAAGGAGGGAGGGAGAAAAGGAAGGAAGGAGGGAAAGAAGGAAGGAGGGAAGGAAGAAGGGAGAGAAGGAGGGAAGGAAGGAGGGAAGGAAGGACAGAAGAAAGGAGGGAAGGAAGGAGGGAAGGAAGGAAGGAAGAAGGGAAGAGTGAGGGAGGGAAGGAGTAAGGAAAGGAAGGAAGGAGGGAGGGAAGGAAGGAAGGAAGCAAGGAAGGAAGGAAGGAAGGAGGGAAGGAAGGAAGGAGGGAGGGAAGGAAGGAAGGAGGGAGAGAGGGAAGGAAGGAGGGAGGGAAGGAAGGAAGGAGGGAGAGAGGGAAGGAGCAAGCTGGGGTACCTGCCCAGGCAAGCAGGCAGTCAGGCACAGACATGCCTGCCTCCAGAGGCCCACATTTCCCAACTCTGCCTGTCCTGGCCACACAGACTGGAAGCTAGCATCCACCGGATTGGGCGTGAGGTGCCGTCAATTCACCATCCACTAAATCCGCTCTATGAGAGTTGGCAGCTTACTTTTCGCAGGGAGACTGCAGCACGAAGGGGCCGCATCACCACGCCAGATCGGGGGGCTTCTTGGGGAAGGCCATCCGCTTTACGGTACTGTTTAATTTGGATTTGCTGGCTCCCTTTTCTCATCCCATGGGCAGGTCTTAATAATCAAGCTCTACGTTGTGTGCTCTGTGGCATGATTAAAGCCTCTGCTTAATTAGAAAAGCTATCCACCTCCAGACAAAGGGAAATCAATGATGTATCTGATGGGAAGACGCTTGAGAACTTCTGTTTGCGTGGATGGAGCTGCCTGTGAGATGGAGCATGTGAGGGTGCGGGCGGGCACACACGCACGGGCACACACACGTGCACACACGCACGCACACGGGCACACACGCGTGCACACACGCACGCACACGCACGTGCACACACGCATGTGCAGACCCATGCACCGACGCCTGCACTGGTCAGCCCTGGATGTAGGCAGGTTCCGGCTGGGTGGGTGGCTTCAGTGGGGTTAGCCGGGGCTCAGAGCCCCAGAGCATGAAGTGGGCCTGCCGTGGGTTTGCATTTCTGGTCTGTTTGGCCGAGGCCTTGGGACAGGGAAGCCTGACCAGCAGCCGCTGCCGTGTGTCAGCTCCTGCCACACGGCCGGTGTCCCACCCTCTCAGCCACCGCTGTCTCGGTCCCAACAGCCTCCAACCAGGGGCTCTGCTTGCTGCACATCTCATTTCTGCCATGGCCCCTGAGGGTCGGGCATGTGGGAGCCTTGGTTGGGAGGCTGAGACCGCCATGCGGTTGAAGTCAGATGTGGGCCAAGGCTGCGCGTCTGGGAGGCTGGAGGTCACCTGTGAGCGGCCACTTCCCCACAGAGGGGCTTCCTTGCAGCCGGCCGCTTGGAGACGGTCAGACTGTACGCTCCGCTCAGCCTTGGAGTTCATACCGCTCCTCTCTGCTGTCCTTGATGGACAGACAGCCACCAAGCCCACTTGTTTTCAAGAGGAGAAACAGACAGACTGCTGATGGACGGGGTAAGACCAGAAGCGAGATCTCTGCCTTGGTGTTTGGAAAATGAAACCTGCCACGTGGTTACAGTTCGGAGGACTGCAGCCCCAGGCTCCCACGGCTTCGCCAGCTTCCTCCACGCCAGCTTAGACGCAGCTGGAGCGCTGGTGCTGTGCCACAGGTGAGTGGGGGTCATGCTGGACATACGCGGGCTTGTCATAAAGGAGTCTGTTACCCCTCACGTGCGGACGCTGGAGCACCGCAGGCCTCGCCCTGGTAGCTAACATCCAGCCTCAAACACGGTGAGATAAACTCACCACCTTCAAGCAACACCGCAGGGCTGTGGGGGCCGGCTGCCCATGGCTGGCCTTTTATTTCCCAGCAGCTCCCGCAGCGTAGCTCAGTCTCCTCTGGCCGGCTCTGGGCGTGTGCCTCCCTCACGGACAGGAGCTGCCCCTCGGGAGAGGAAAGCAGCCCGAAAACCAAACCACGACCTCTGGCCACACTTGCTCTGGGAGGCCTTCCCCTCCGTAGTGTTCCCAGGAAGGGCTCCCCCAGCCCTCCCTTCCAAGTGCAGGGACCGCTGCCCGACAGACAGGGCTCAGGGCTCACAGCACACACCCTGAACCTTCTTCTGACCCAGAATTTGAAGGCAGTGTCCAGCTCCCTGGCCGGCTCAGGATACAAATAATGCAGATTTCTTCAGAGTTTGAAAAATGCCTACAATAAAAGAACCAAGCACCAAATATACAAAGACATTTGGGGACTTAAACATAGTGCAGCCACCAGAATAGGGCTGGAGGAGCCCAGGACGGCACCGCTGGGAGACACAGGCTGGGGGCACGCACAGTGGGGCCTCACCTGCCCACTGCCACAGGGGACCCCGAGATTCAGCCTGTCTTCCACCCTCATCCACGTACAGGCCAGGCAGAGGAGGGCTGACCCGCCACAGCTCACCTCCAAGGGGCGAGGCTCGGGGACAGGGAGGGTGGCAGGCGGCAGCTCCCTCGGCCTCCCTGCCCGCCCCAGGAGTCCTCACCCCAGAGACGGGGCAGCGGCCCGCCTCCCCTCCCCTCAGCCTTCCTTCTGGACAAGGAGGTGCCACACTGCCGCGGCCCTGGCCCCGACTACCCAGCCCAGCACAAGCGTCCGTGCGGCTGCTGCCCAGGCCTGCCCTCTCCGGACTCCTGCCCTGCTGGGCTCCAGACAGGAGAGGAGCCACGGCAGGGGGACTCCAGGCCCAGAGGCTGTGGGTGTCTGCCCTGACTGGTCCCTTAATGGGGCCCTTGTTCAAGTCCAGCTGTCAGGCCTCTCAAAAGGTTTCAGAGCAGAGCACAGTGGCCGGGGCCTGGGACTCGGTCTTTCATGGTGTGAGCAGGGCTAGGCCAGTGGGGCCAGGGCAGCGGGGCCAGGGCAGCGGGGCCAGGGCAGCGGGGCCAGGGCAGCGGGCGCAGTGGCTTGTCTGAACCTCCTGCCACAATGGGAGGGGGGAGAACAAGGCCTTGACAGATCCTGACGGAAGAGCAGTGCCTTTCAGACTCACAGACTCACTGAACCCCCCCCCCCCCCCCCCCCGCCGCATCCCAGCCCCGGGCTGCGGCCCCAGAGGCCCCGGCCCCGCTCACCTCTTGGGCCTGTAGTCGGGGATGGACCTGTCGAGGGAGATGCGGTCGCTGAGCTGCGCGTTGTACCCGAACTCCTCGAACTTGCTTTCGGTCTCCTGGCTGTCATCCCGCAGGGTGGCCGCCAGACCCCCCTGGCCCAGGCCGCCCGGGCCCTCCACCAGCCCGATGGGCTTCGCAAGGCCTGGAGGGACAAGGAGGCTCAGGTCACAGGATCCAAGGAGCTGGCCACAGAGGACCCCTGACCCCCAGCACACGCTTGCAGGATCCAACACTGACTGGAAAGCGCACAGTGGAGCTGGCGGAGGGCAGCGGGCCGCGCCTGGGGCTCAGGGACACTGACAGGGCAGGTCACCCGACATCGCCCACCACAGGAGGCGTCCGGCCCTGCACATCCGTCTCCAAGAACAGCCCGGGACTGCTGGTCATTGGGTGGCCGTCGGAGGGGCAGGAAGGGGGCTCCGGGTCCACTCTTTCTGCCTGAATCATTGAAACCCTTTCAATCTGAGCAGGGAAGGCTTTGAGTGGAAACTGCAGCCATGGGGGAACCACAGCTCCGGGGTGCTAGGAAGAAGCCAGGCCTAGAGAAAACCCGGCCCTCTGTCTAGACAACCAGGCAGGCCTCTAGCCCTGGCCCTCTGTCTAGACAACCAGGCAGGCCTCTAGCCCTTCTGTCTAGACAACCAGGCAGGCCTCTAGCCCTTCTGTCTAGACAACCAGGCAGGCCTCTAGCCCTGGCCCTCTGGGGCAGCTGGGTGGGGACTCACAGGTGCCTGAGCCTGGGCATCCTAGGCAGGTGTGGGCAGGTGTGGGGTACAGGGCAGGTGGGGGGTACCGCACCGTTGGGCCCTGCCCTGGGTGGGGGTCGTGAGCTGGGCCTTGGCCCTGCCCTGGGTGGGGTCGTGAGCTGGGCCTTGCCCTGCCCTGGGTGGGGTCGTGAGCTGGGCCTTGCCCTGCCCTGGGTGGGGGTCATGAGCTGGGCCTTGGGCCCTGCCCTGGGTGGGGTCATGAGCTGGGCCTTGGGCCCTGCCCTGGGTGGGGGTCATGAGCTGGGCCGTGGGCCCTGCCCTGGGTGGGGTCATGAGCTGGGCCTTGGGCCCTGCCCTGGGTGGGGGTCATGAGCTGGGCCTTGCCCTGCCCTGGGTGGGGTCGTGAGCTGGGCCTTGCCCTGCCCTGGGTGGGGGTCTTGAGCTGGGCCTTGCCCTGCCCTGGGTGGGGGTCATGAGCAGGGCCTTGCCCTGCCCTGGGTGGGGTCGTGAGCTGGGCCTTGCCCTGCCCTGGGTGGGGTCATGAGCTGGGCCTTGCCCTGCCCTGGGTGGGGGTCATGAGCTGGGCCTTGCCCTGCCCTGGGTGGGGGTCGTGAGCTGGGCCTTGCCCTGCCCTGGGTGGGGGTCGTGAGCTGGGCCTTGCCCTGCCCTGGGTGGGGGTCGTGAGCTGGGCCTTGCCCTGCCCTGGGTGGGGGTCGTGAGCTGGGCCTTGCCCTGCCCTGGGTGGGGTGGTGAGCTGGGCCTTGCCCTGCCCTGGGTGGGGTCGTGAGCTGGGCCTTGCCCTGCCCTGGGTGGGGTCGTGAGCTGGGCCTTGCCCTGCCCTGGGTGGGGTCTTGAGCTGGGCCTTGCCCTGCCCTGGGTGGGGTCATGAGCTGGGCCTTGCCCTGCCCTGGGTGGGGTCGTGAGCTGGGCCTTGCCCTGCCCTGGGTGGGGTCGTGAGCTGGGCCTTGCCCTGCCCTGGGTGGGGTCATGAGCTTGGCCTTGCCCTGCCCTGGGTGGGGTCGTGAGCTGGGCCTTGCCCTGCCCTGGGTGGCGTGGTGAGCTGGGCCTTGCCCTGCCCTGGGTGGGGGTCATGAGCTGGGCCTTGGGCCCTGCCCTGGGTGGGGGTCTTGAGCTGGGCCTTGGGCCCTGCCCTGGGTGGGGGTCGTGAGCTGGGCCTTGCCCTGCCCTGGGTGGGGTCGTGAGCTGGGCCTTGCCCTGCCCTGGGTGGGGTCATGAGCTTGGCCTAGCCCTGCCCTGGGTGGGGTCGTGAGCTGGGCCTTGCCCTGCCCTGGGTGGGGTCGTGAGCTGGGCCTTGCCCTGCCCTGGGTGGCGTCGTGAGCTGGGCCTTGCCCTGCCCTGGGTGGGGGTCATGAGCTGGGCCTTGGGCCCTGCCCTGGGTGGGGGTCTTGAGCTGGGCCTTGGGCCCTGCCCTGGGTGGGGGTCGTGAGCTGGGCCTTGCCCTGCCCTGGGTGGGGTCATGAGCTGGGCCTTGCCCTGCCCTGGGTGGGGGTCGTGAGCTGGGCCTTGCCCTGCCCTGGGTGGGGTCGTGAGCTGGGCCTTGGGCCCTGCCCTGGGTGGGGGTCGTGAGCTGGGCCTTGCCCTGCCCTGGGTGGGGTCGTGAGCTTGGCCTTGCCCTGCCCTGGGTGGGGTCGTGAGCTTGGCCTTGGGCCCTGCCCTGGGTGGGGGTCATGAGCTGGGCCTTGCCCTGCCCTGGGTGGGGTCATGAGCTTGGCCTTGGGCCCTGCCCTGGGTGGGGGTCATGAGCTGGGCCTTGGGCCCTGCCCTGGGTGGGGTCGTGAGCTGGGCCTTGCCCTGCCCTGGGTGGGGTCGTGAGCTGGGCCTTGCCCTGCCCTGGGTGGGGGTCATGAGCTTGGCCTTGGCCCTGCCCTGGGTGGGGTCGTGAGCTGGGCCTTGCCCTGCCCTGGGTGGGGGTCGTGAGCTGGGCCTTGCCCTGCCCTGGGTCGGGGTCATGAGCTGGGCCTTGCCCTGCCCTGGGTGGGGTCATGAGCTGGGCCTTGCCCTGCCCTGGGTGGGTTGGTGAGCTGGGCCTTGCCCTGCCCTGGGTGGGGTCATGAGCTGGGCCTTGCCCTGCCCTGGGTGGGGTCGTGAGCTGGGCCTTGCCCTGCCCTGGGTGGGGTCGTGAGCTGGGCCTTGCCCTGCCCTGGGTGGGGTCGTGAGCTGGGCCTTGCCCTGCCCTGGGTGGGGTCGTGAGCTGGGCCTTGCCCTGCCCTGGGTGGGGTCGTGAGCTGGGCCTTGCCCTGCCCTGGGTGGGGGTCATGAGCTGGGCCTTGCCCTGCCCTGGGTGGGGGTCGTGAGCTGGGCCTTGCCCTGCCCTGGGTGGGGTCATGAGCTGGGCCTTGGGCCCTGCCCTGGGTGGGGTGGTGAGCTGGGCCTTGCCCTGCCCTGGGTGGGGGTCATGAGCTGGGCCTTGCCCTGCCCTGGGTGGGGGTCTTGAGCTGGGCCTTGGGCCCTGCCCTGGGTGGGGGTCATGAGCTGGGCCTTGCCCTGCCCTGGGTGGGGTCGTGAGCTGGGCCTTGGGTCCTGCCCTGGGTGGGGGTCGTGAGCTGGGCCTTGCCCTGCCCTGGGTGGGGTCGTGAGCTTGGCCTTGCCCTGCCCTGGGTGGGGTCGTGAGCTTGGCCTTGGGCCCTGCCCTGGGTGGGGGTCATGAGCTGGGCCTTGCCCTGCCCTGGGTGGGGTCATGAGCTAGGCCTTGCCCTGCCCTGGGTGGGGTCATGAGCTTGGCCTTGGGCCCTGCCCTGGGTGGGGGTCATGAGCTGGGCCTTGGGCCCTGCCTGCCCTGGGTGGGGTTGTGAGCTGGGCCTTGCCCTGCCCTGGGTGGGGTCGTGAGCTGGGCCTTGCCCTGCCCTGGGTGGGGGTGGTGAGCTGGGCCTTGCCCTGCCCTGGGTGGGGTCGTGAGCTGGGCCTTGCCCTGCCCTGGGTGGGGGTGGTGAGCTGGGCCTTGCCCTGCCCTGGGTGGGGTCGTGAGCTGGGCCTTGCCCTGCCCTGGGTGGGGGTCATGAGCTGGGCCTTGCCCTGCCCTGGGTGGGGTCGTGAGCTGGGCCTTGCTCTGCCCTGGGTGGGGGTCATGAGCTGGGCCTTGCTCTGCCCTGGGTGGGGGTCATGAGCTGGGCCTTGCCCTGCCCTGGGTGGGGTCGTGAGCTGGGCCTTGGGCCCTGCCCTGGGTGGGGGTCATGAGCTGGGCCTTTCCCTGCCCTGTGTGGGGGTCATGAGCTGGGCCTTGCCCTGCCCTGGGTGGGGTCGTGAGCTGGGCCTTGCTCTGCCCTGGGTGGGGGTCGTGAGCTGGGCCTTGCCCTGCCCTGGGTGGGGGTCATGAGCTGGGCCTTGCCCTGCCCTGGGTGGGGTTGTGAGCTGGGCCTTGGGCCCTGCCCTGGGTGGGGGTCATGAGCTGGGCCTTGCCCTGCCCTGGGTGGGGGTCATGAGCTGGGCCTTGCCCTGCCCTGGGTGGGGTCGTGAGCTGGGCCTTGGGCCCTGCCCTGGGTGGGGTCATGAGCTGGGCCTTGCCCTGCCCTGGGTGGGGTCATGAGCTGGGCCTTGCCCTGCCCTGGGTGGGGGTCATGAGCTGGGCCTTGCCCTGCCCTGGGTGGGGTCGTGAGCTGGGCCTTGGGCCCTGCCCTGGGTGGGGTCATGAGCTGGGCCTTGCCCTGCCCTGGGTGGGTTGGTGAGCTGGGCCTTGCCCTGCCCTGGGTGGGGTCATGAGCTGGGCCTTGCCCTGCCCTGGGTGGGGTGGTGAGCTGGGCCTTGCCCTGCCCTGGGTGGGGTCATGAGCTGGGCCTTGCCCTGCCCTGGGTGGGGTGGTGAGCTGGGCCTTGCCCTGCCCTGGGTGGGGTTCACAGGCTGGGGTCCCAGCCCAGGCGTGCGGGAAGTAGCTGGCCTCTGCACAGCCAGGGAGCTTCTCCACTACACACAGCCAGGCCCTTCAGCCTCCAGGACACCTGGGGGATTCTGGAATATTCCATTCAAAATGCACAAACCTAGTATGGATACTCAAGTGGGATTGAAAGCTCCACATTTAAAATTGAAAACTGATGACACAATCATTCTCATTTTTATCTTAATATTGCAACGTGTCTGTAAAATCTTGTTATTTTTAACATCTCTGCCACACTCACATCTAGAGAGAGAGAAAGGTGTGGGGGGGTCCAGCCATGAAAGATGTGTGGCTGCTGGAAGACCAGCCGGCAGCCAGTGTGCACAGCCAGGGGTTGGGGCCTTGCTTTTTCTCTAGTAAAACAGGTAAAGCAGGTACATGTTGAAAAATGCACGCCGTCCAGAAACCAAAGCCTCTGCCTGTCCCCCTCCTGCCCCTCCAGCTCCGCCCCCCAAGAAAGGCCGTTTTGCTGCTTTGTGTTCTTTTGTCTGACGAGTGTGCAGACCAGCGTCTGCTCAAAGCAGACAGGTCCCTGGCTCCTGGCAT